GCTCCTCAACTAAGGCAATGTCAATTGTCTCTTCCATCGTCGCTGGCACCTTTCTGAAAAGGTCCTGACACGATGGGCCGTGCCTAAGTCCATTCATAAGTGTAGGCATTTTAATGTGTTTTTATATCGGACCCACATTAATGGACGCCGACAGCGAACGCATCTCCTGCACATACTCTTGCAGAGAGCATTTCACCTGTCGTGCTCCAAAGAAGCGCGCCATAAGCAACACTTCGTTGTTAGACGGCTGATACATGGCGCGAATCTTTGCCTTAAAGATCGCCCATGATGGAAATGCATCAGCATTTGCCATCAGCGCAGAGTATGCCCACTCTGACGCTTTGCCACGCAAGTTGGACATGGCATACGACACCATTCTGGAGTCGTCTTCTATGAGCTGCGCCACTCCACATTGCTCAACTGCTAATAGCCAGTGAACAATCGTGTGAGGGCTAGTTCCATCGAACTTCGGAGGGTCCATCCGAATGGGCTTCGGTTGAGTAGGCCGGGCAGAGAGCGTCTCAACAGTTCTGTTGAGTGCCTCATTACGTGCCTGCTCAAGCCTAATCTCATCCTGAGTCGTATTGATAGACTCAGCCGTGGCTTGACTATTTGCCTCGGACGCATTGTTACATTGTCCGAGCACAAACGCCTCGAATTGCTCAAGCTGAGCAACATGTTGACAGGAAAACAAATTAAGAGGTTTGCCAGGGCTTGTTCACCAAGTCCCTGCACCAAGTGCTCTGCCACCTCCCTATGATGTTGGGAGAGGTGAGGAAAAGTCCCCCAATACATACTGAGGGACATCCGTATCCACAGACACGCCCAGAGAGACGGATTGTGGAAAGGACTACTAGCTCTACCAAGTGAAGACGGGCGCTTCGTAAAGAAAATGCCACGTACTACGCGAGCACACACCTTCGAGCAGCATGAGGAAGCGGTTAGATAGTCTTACCTCCGTGTGGTGTTTGTCGGTGCTCGAAGCGCATTACCAACCGTTGCCGGTCGCTTAATGCGATCCGCGCAACAAACTTATAAAAAGTGCTTTACTTTTTACATGCAGAAGCTTATCTAGCTTCTCGTGTGCAGTGAGCGATAGTAAGTAAATTCAAGACTGACTTATATTCAATAGAATTTAGTCAAATAAAAGTCTAATTACCGATTGGTTGAATGTAAAAATCGGATACGCGTCTCTTAGATACGTATCCTTACGTGCGAGCTTAAATATATCTAAGCTAGCTGATGACGTCCGTTTAAAGCGGCACCATGATGCATAATCCCAACTGGCGTCATCCTCGTTGAATGTAAGTCCATCCATGGATATCACATTCACGAGGGTGGGTCACATTGATGTGCCACACATAAGTGGCAGGCCTAAGGTAACTCGTACCCATTTAGGCCTGCCCGTTAAGTATTCGATACTTAACGGACTCGTGATCCTATAAGCCCATTATGAATAAAAAAAATTAGAGGGGTTGCAAAGCTGATGATGCATCTATCGCTGCAAAAACAACTAAGTAGTCCGTCTACAAAAGCGAAATGATTAACGAGCGACTGATCCACAGCAATAAAGACGTCGCCATAAGCAATAATATGGCGGAGAAAGTTAAGGAACGTCCCACATCAAATGCAGCTCGTATTCCATTACTTTACGAAACAATGGCGTTTCTAAGTCTTCCAGTCCTGCTCAAGCCTGACAATTCCGTCAATGACGCTCAACCCTCATCCAAGCAGTCCTGACTGGCTACCCACTTCTTCCAGCTCGCATCTAGCCAAAAATAGCGCTGTGGTTTTGTCCCCTCGGTATGTTTAGAACATATTAAACCCCGCACGGTCATTTTTGCCGCGCGGTAGCTCAATCTTGTCTTTGTTCTTTGTGATGACGTCCTCCGTCACCGCGTACTGATCACGCACACCTTCCAAAGCACGCACCAAGTTAAAGTACCACTTGACATCAAGGGCTACAACGGCAGCTATAGCGTCTTCAGCCGCTTGGCTGCCGGCATTGCTCTGCTTCTCTACCTTGGCCGTGACAATCTTCTCTTCGTCGCCTTCCTTGCCACCCCTCGAAGAGGTAACAGTAGTAGTAGTACTGGTCTCAGAGTTCGCCTTAGCGTTCAGTTTCTCCACGGCTGTAGCTCTAGTCGAGCTGTAATCCGACAAAGAGTCCCATATCTTCTGCCACTTTTCCAAAGACTCTTTAAGGTGCACAAAGGCGTATTTCTGCACCTCAACACCAAAGTTGTTGCCGTCCTCGACCTTAGGAACGTGCAGTTGAATCCAACATTGAAGCAGTTGAATGGCGCTCATAAGTTGCGCAATTTCATCCGTCACGACACTCAAGAGCGATTGCACTTCGTTATTGGAGCCGACAGCCGACGGCGCAGCTAGAATCAATTGCGCAAACTTAGTGTGCACTTTAGAGAGTGAGCGCTCAACCACATGCTGCTGTACGAGCGCCTGGACTTGCGTCACGCGCTGCGACAGCTCCGAGAGCAATGCGGCACCTGATGCCGTCACGGTCTTGGAATATTCACTCATACTGCTGATACTGTAGCTGCTCTTATCTACGAGATCTTTCTGATAGTGACGTAGCAATAACGGAAGCGGAAAGAAAACGTATTCGGATTGGCCAAAATTCAGTTTACGAATCGCATGCATTCCATTCAACAACTTGAAGCGACATGTAATCATTTAGTCACTACACAAATGAGACAAGATACGGAGGAGGCCCACTACGTCGCAGCGGCCACATTAACCTCTTGCTCGGCGAGGCGACTGTCGGGGGTCGAAAGGTGGCAACCTGCCACTGCATTCAGTGCGGTGCTGTCAATTGGTTCCTTGAGTCCAAGTGCCTGACGTGCCTCCGCCATAAGGAACACACTGCCACATACCACGACTACCTCGTCGTCTGCAGACGCGCGTGATGCAGCCAGGGCGGTGTAAACGCCTTCCTTGATGTTCAAGATGGTGCCGTACTCGCACTTCTTCCCGGTCTCGACGCTTGCATTCGCCAACGCCAGATTGATCTCGTGCAGTGTGGCGCCACGGGGGTGGTTGGCCTTTACCAAGTGGATGCGCTCTTGAATCGGTTCATCACTCTCGTCCGAGTGGCTGCCGCGGACTATGGCCGTCATCTTGTCCAGCACCTCGGCAATGGCCTTGTCAGCCGAGAAGCCACAAACAAACCGGAACTTTTTCTCGGGAAACTGTTTGTGCAATAGACTCGCCAGCCTGTCGATAGCCTGCGGATTATGTGCCACATCAAGCACGACGGTGACTTTGCGTTCCTTCGAGTTTGGGCGAATAACATGGAGAACTTGAAAGCGACACGGCGGACGAGATTCGAGCGCCGCATTCACGCGGTCGTCCGTCAAGTCAACGCAAAGACCTGCATTGGCCATGCTAGACTGCGTATCACATAGTGCGTTTAGCTGAACACAGGCTTCGCGGGCAATAGCCGTGTTCTCAACATTGTAGTCATCTTCAAAATTTTCCCCAAGCGGTACTCTCACCAGCCGAGCATTGTTCTGTGCCGCGTACTCCATCATAACTGTCACAGGCGTATTAGGTCCAACCACAACCGGTACGTTTGGTTTAATTATTCCAGCCTTCTCACGTGCAATGGCTTCACGAGTATTGCCTAAAATCCGCATGTGGTCCATGCCAATGGACGTAATCACTGATAACACGGGAGTAACAATATTTGTCGAGTCTAGTCGACCACCAAGCCCCGTCTCCAACACAACACAGTCTACTCCTTGCTTGGCAAAATGCTGAAAAGCCAGCATCGTCGTGATCTCAAAAAACGTGGCTGGAATCCTCATTTGTGCACAAATATTGAAAATCTCCGACAACGTCTCGCACACCTCACTCTCCGAGATGAGCGTCCTATTGACCTGTACACGCTCTCTAAAGCACGCAACGTGTGGAGATACGAACAACCCCGTCTTGTATCCAGAGCGTTCGAGTGCTTTCGCCACTTTAAACGCTACTGATCCTTTGCCGTTCGTTCCTGCCACGTGAATAACATTCAACTTCGATGCTGGATCACCAAACGCCACGTTAAGCTGCTGCATATTCTCAAGTCCGAGCTTGACAGCTGAGAAACGATTTACTTGGTACAATCGCTGTAGCAACGTCTCATACGTGGCGGTGATCGCTGCTGCTGCCTTCGTCGCATCTTCCTCCTGATGCATGTCTTCCATCCTATTGCAACGGACCCGTCTTTGCGACATAAAGCGCGCATTTTCCAGCAGTAACGAGTTGCCACCTGATGGGGTCGGGAGGACACCAAAAGTTGAGACGGACAGCGATTCGGAGCGTGCAAACGCCGCAGGAGCTGGTGCTTGACGAAACCTTGCACGTGATAATGCTGTATATGAGCGTAGGAGTTGCCACTGCGTGGCCTTCGAGCCTCGCATCGACGCCCTGCGCAACGTCATATCAGGTTATTATAGCCAATTAAGTTATACCATTTCTTATAAGATTAGTAAACGAGTGTTGAACTTCAACCCCTCCCCCTTTCACGTCAATTTTGACGTGCTGGCCTCTCTTATTTACGCCGGTAAACGGTCCGATTGGATGTTGAAAGTGTCATTAATAATACTCGCGAGAGTGACAAACCGATGCCGGTCGAGCTGGTGCTTCCATCGCTCTTCCTAGAGCGTACGTCCTGTACTTTCTAGTTGATGTATCGACAAGTAAAGACTCTACTTTGTGATTATTAGAATTGCGTGAATCTGGAGGTGCAGCCATCGCGGATTTACTGCTGCAAGCAGCTGATGTAGACGACGCAGAGCTTCTGGAAACACTGGCCAGCGCTGTCTATGAACGCAGCTGGGAGAAACTGCATTGTGGTAGCTGGAAAGATGTACTACCCATGTGGCGCCAAGCTTTTGGATTTGCGAGCTTCTTACAGGCGAAATGTCTACTCCAACACAAGCAGCCGTTAAAATGCCTAAAGATGCTTGATATGGTGCCGTATTAAGGATTTGTTAATGAGATGTAAGGATATCGTAGACTTAAAATGAATTTTGCTGTTGTTTTAGTGTCTGATGATGGCCGGACCTTTTGCACCTCCTGAATCGCCCAAGCTTATTAATGAAGTTGAAAAGCAGATAATTAATGCTGGACAATTATTGGTACGTACGTGTTACTGTCATTTACGACTTGGATTTTGCTTTGGTTGAACTGCCGATGGCATTGGCATTATGCTTAAAGTTGTTTTATTTATCTGGTGGTCTGTTGCGTAACGACTCCATGTTTTGGAGTGTTTAAAACAGAATGCAGTGCGGCATTCTAAGGTCGCTTTTAAAGACATGTTGCTACTTTGGCGTAACTAATGAGGCAGTCGTGCTCATGTCGATTTTGTGCATGCAGAAGCCTCGGCTGGACGACGAGATGCTGTCCATTGGCGACGAGATGGTAGCCCAGAGACCACAATTACAGTTTCCGGTGCAAAGGATGGAGATGCCGACACTCGAATTTTTTCGCCACCATGTAATGCTGCAAAAGTGCGTTATGTTGATCGATTTACTGCTTCTGCATTTTCTTTTATAATGAGATGACTTTTGGTAACAGTGAACCAGTGATTCTTACGGGCGCAATGGAGTTCTGGCCTGCGCTCGGACGAGCCGCAGGACCCGATCGCGCCTGGAAGAACGTGACGTACCTCCGCCGAGTCGCAGGCCTGCGAACTGTACCTGTTGAGGTACGGTAGATCATAATCGTTATGTAAGGCTTGCATTTTATATCTACATTTGTCGTTTTGTTGGTTGTTCTGAATGCGGCATCGGTGTTAGGTGGGGTCAAGTTACATGAGGGATGACTGGGGACAAGAGCTCATGACCTTGAACGAATTCCTTGATCGGCATATCATTCCATTATTAGCCAAAAACAAAAGCGTTACTAGCATCGATGATACAAGATCTCACCCTTCATTGTCAAAAAAGGTTGGGTACTTGGCGCAACATCGCCTTTTTGATCAGGTATGTTGACGAACGACATTATTCTCGGACCTTATGCTTGGTCGATTGACACTGATGCATGTTTGGCTTTGCAAGCAGATTCCAGCGCTGAGGCGTGACATTATTGTTCCTGACTACTGCACTGTGCAACGTGTTGACGATGCTCAAGATGAAGAGGACGACGACATTACGATCAATTGTTGGTTTGGCCCCGGAGGAACTGTTTCGCCTCTGCATTTTGACCCCAAAGACAATTTGCTTTGTCAAGTTGTAGGTACCAAGTACGTGCGATTGTATGCACAAGAAGAAAGTGAGAAACTCTACCCGACTGAGGGATTGCTGTCAAACACAAGTCAAGTTCAAGTGGAAGATCTCGACGACGAAAAGTTTCCTCAGTTTTGTCACGCCAAATACCTCGAGTGCGTTTTACATGAGGGTGAGATGCTCTACATCCCTCTCAAGTGCTGGCACTATGTGAAGTCTCTCTCTACCAGCTATTCCGTGAGCTTTTGGTGGTCATAGCCCATGAGTGGGGGCTTGTAAACGGTTTGTACCATGCCCGAGGCGATATGAGAATGGATATAGCTAGATTAAAGGTGACGCGATTTAGCCAAACTCAAGCTTAATGATGTCGGAGGTTTTTGGTCACAAGGGAGCTGCTGGAAGTGATACTGATAGGGACCACTCACTGAGACTGCTACTTAGAATAAAGAAGAAAAACGTAGTGATTCTGAGCTGTTTTGTCTTTCCTGACTGACACTTCTCTTTTGATGACTATGTGGGTGTTTGGTCTACAGCAAATTCGTTGTCGGGAACACATAGCACGAGTCGGTAACTTGAGGAGGCTGTGGTTGCGTACTAGCAAAGGCACCGAGGACAAGGCATTGGACGACATGTGCATGTGGTTAAAGCAAGAAGTGCAAGACGAGTTAGTATTGCCTGATGAGGAGGATATACGCTGACGCGACTGCTAGCTGCAGATGATTTTGTTCGTGACAAGTGAAGATGTATTTTGTAGCATTGGCATGCGCTCAATCAATGATAACGAGCAAACCAACCAAAGCTTTCAGCATAAACACGTGTGTTATGACTAGAGTATGGTAGATTTGTGCGGCTGCAATAGGAAAATGTAAGAAACATGTACAGAAGTGGCGTCGGAGATTACTTCACAGTGCGTCATCTAAATAAGCACTTCTATCGACTATCGCTTCCTCCATCTAAGCAAAGGAAGGAGAGCGAATCTTCTGTGCGGCGCGGCGAAGCAAAAGCTTGTCCAACTGGGAGTAGTTAGCCATGCGGCACATATAGTCGCCTTCGAACGTGGCCTGCGTGTGACCACCCTTACGCTTGTACAACAAGTCATCATCGATCTTAACCAGGTCCTCCGTAAACATATTGTTGCCCTTTGCCGACTCCAGCGCGTTGCGGTCTGTGTAAACACTCACCGAGTACTTGGCCGGACGAAAGCAACGCAGCACGTTCTTCAGTAGAGACGCGTACGAACGAAGACGTGCATTGGTCTCGAAGCTCACGTAGCTGCATCCACTCTCCGGAGTGATGTGGATCGTGTAGTATGCATCAAACAAGATACCATTCATCGAGTATCCACATGGGTCAAAAGCGAAATCATCGATCAACGCACCGGGCACCAAGTCACGAATTCCACTTTCAATTGTCATTCGACGAGAAGTCATGGTGCTATCGTTGTTCTTAAAGAATTGCTTGGCTACACTCGAGTCCATGTCCTGCATCAGCACGTGAAGTGTGCTTTCGTTCGCACCAGGCTCTTGCATCGGGTCATAATGCGTCAATGTATCAGCACCAGGCTCATGAATATCAGCATCCCACGCGTAGATGTACCAGTGATCACGGTTCAACGGTCCTAGGACATGAGCGGATCCGTCTGGAAAATAAGAGCTCAAGAACGCCACCTCGTTTTGGAAACTTGTGTGGGGGTACTTTTGCTCTTCTGGAAAGGTGTAATTCTTGCGGGAATAGTTGACCCACTCAATCTCAAGTCCCAGTCGTTCGGCAAACGTCTTGATAAACTGCAAACACTTGAGCAACGTGGTAGTACCGCACGTCTTGAGCACGATCTTGTGTGCATAAATAAACATGGAGCTCTCAGACAGCACGTAGGCGTCAATATGCTCGTTGCTGGTGCAAGACAAGATCTGACACTGTCCAGCTTCTAGCATCTCATCCAAGTCTTGACGGGATACCTCACGTAAGCCACGTTCATGGCCAACACCGATTTTAAAGTCAATCTCGAGATTCTTCTCGGGACCTTCGAATGTGTTGGGAACTGTATCGGACGTCTCCGACTGAGTGGAGCTTGTCTCGTCGTCGTAAAGCTTGATAGGCTCTGGGAAGGAATGTGTCATTTTGAATATGCTGGAGCGGATAGACAGAAGAGTAAAAGAGGGAAGAAAGGGCTTAGTAGATGATAATGCGAGGCCTGTTAGGCAGGGTCGTCGCACGCGCCAATATAAAAGAAGCCCGTGAAGATCGTGGTCGGGTCAACAATGTCGTCGCTGCTGGTAAAAAGCGGGTCGACCAACAGCATGAACAATGTGACTGTCTAGGCCTGGTAGCAATGAGCAGAGGGAAAGAAATAAGGTGCTTTTTTTCTACCCTTTTTTCTTTCTTGAGTTTCACGTGTCCACAAGATCAACACCAAAGAAATAACAAAAACACAAGTGACTTGAGTGCTGGAAGACAAATTTTAGAATGAGCTTCATCAAAACGAGTGGCGCGAAGCGGAGCCGTTCGTCTTTTGTGCACCACACATTCCAGAAGTTTTACAAGTCTTCCTCTAGTAAATTATGAAGACCATTTTAATTACATTAGCGGAGGCTATATATTATCGAAGCTAAATTAGGTACCTTGACTAATTATGGAATTAAAAACTGTTATGATGTAACGACGGTTATAATTTATTGGAGAGATACCTATGAGACCTGTACTTTAAAGGTCTCATTACGTCGCAGCGGGATCAGCTTCGAACTGTATCTACAACCGACATGTGTCTCACTATACAGTATACCACTATACAGTAAAATACCGTTACGTATGAAAAACATCGACTAGGTGGAAAATGAAATGCATTGATGCTGCACGACATTATTCCTAGCAACCGATAAACTGTACCGAGAGCCGCCTCGCTGAGGTGTTTCATCATAACGATTTCACAGAACCACAAAGAAACGAACCCGCGTGTTTTTTGCGACGTTGGATTCCCACTATCATGTCAACGTGTACTCGTACTGCAGCTATATCGTCTATACGGCTGCAGCAGCAGCAACCTCCACCGCCGGGATGCAGTGCAATATCTCTGCCGCTTGGTTGCTCGTCTCTTTATCGTTATAGAAGTGCGGGTGGTCGCATAACACTGGGGATGATACTTTTACTGTATAAGTGCACGTCTGTGTCTCCTTGACCGTCAGAATGTGGTGACTCGTGCCACCGTGACTGCAGTAGTAGAGAACCTTCGCCTTGCGCGGTACATGGTTCTCTGAATCTTTGCAGATGGTCCCGTCGTCATACAGCTCCAAGTACGCGGGGCGTGGCACGTCTTGAGTTGCGTCAATGTACTCCGAGACCAACGCTGAGCCCATGCGCTCCAACTCGCGATTCCCCTCTTCATCAAACATGCCTAGAGAAAACTCGGCTGTGATTCGACCATCGGCATCGCGGTGGTACTGCCTCACCGATCTCCCGAAGCAAAACTCATACGTCCACCAACCTTCAGTTCGAGTGATGCACTTCTGTGCGTCCTCCAGTGGCTGCAACAACAAACGCACAGTAAACAAGTTGCTATCATCTGCGTCGGAATGTAGAGGGTCGCAAAATACTCGCGACGCAACTAAAAGCGCAGCGATTTCATGCGGACCGTCCGTGGCTGCATCTGTTCGCCATTGCACAGCAGACACTGCGTCGTCTTGCGTAGTGGTACTGCAGATGAACTGCACGTAAATTTGCTGCTTATCATCACCAAAAGTCTGCGTATACAGCGGTTTATGGTGATTTTTGACTCGATCCTGCATCTCGGACGTGACAAACTCGTCGTAAATGAGGGCAGGGCGACTTGATTCTGTCACAAAAGCGCCAAGTCGTTCTTCTTCGTGTCCAGCAATTTGTGCCACATTTGACGTTGCTCCTATTGCTTCAACTTGCACTTCTGCCTGTTGAAGCACCGAACGACGGATTGAAATGCCCACGCAGACTTCGTAGAGCCACACGCTCTCCGTGTCCATGTATTGGATGCATTGGGGTCGCACTCTCTTTACTGCGGCTCGTCCAAACGCCAAGAAAGCGGCAGTTTGCTGCTTTTCAACGCCCTCTTTAACAAGTAGCGGGTCGGATGCCTCTATATCCTCCGTCACCTGCTTAGAAAGAGGAAGAGGTGGGAGCAAACACTCAAATGTTTGGCCAGATTCGGTCGTAATGAGTTGAGACCGCTTAGGGGTGCCGTCTTTGATCGAAGGAAAGCCATCACGGGTTGCACGAAGTTGAACTACGTATAAAGGATCCAGAGATGACGTAAATGATGAGGCAGAGGTACTAGAAGTAGAGCTTAGAGCCGCTAAAACTGCTAGGATTCGACGCGTCATTATTACCATATTGAATGGAATCAGATGACCAGCTCTGATACCGAACTTAGTGCGTCAAGTTTCTTAAATACGGATGCATGTGTGAGAACAGACTCAGTAACCTTAGGTCCCTCCCGCAGCGCTTAATGAGCCGGTATTGCATTACTTCTGCTTCGTGCAAATAGGGACTTGCCATCAGTGTTGCTGTTGCCCATAGCCCCAATTTAGGAATCGCGTAGTAAGTTTCTGCCCTGTGCTTGGGAGTCGAATACAGTTCCCAGTGTGAAATTTGCCGAATGTGTAACTCAGCTAGCGTGCAGACGTGTAGCAGTGGATACTTCTTTGTCTCCTTGTCGTTCACTATCCAAGAATCTCATCCCACCTGTAAATCACCCAAAAATCCTGGCGCTCCTACGAGTACAAGTGTGTAAGAATCGGGATGTCTTCATAATATTGGCGAAGTGAGAGACAGAGACGCAGACGAGATTATTTAATCTTTAGTGGTTGCAAGATGTCTGGTAGATCCTAAGCCTCGTTAGCAACGCCGGTTTCTCATTCGGGATCAATGGTTGTACGGGGCTTGTCACCTGCGGTGACGGCTCTCAGGGTTGTCTGGCTATGGCACGTTGAGATAGCATCGGACGGGTTCCTTAAAATTTTATCGTGTGTGTTCGTCGGCACTCTCGCTTCGCGACTGCGCCGCATGCCGGTCTCCCAAAATTCCTGCACGCTGACGGCGATGGTCACGTCCGCTTGCTGGAACGTCACGCGGTTGCGCTGTATCCACAAGCTGGTGATGCAAATACTGCTTAGGATGTATCATATACGACGGTGTATGCGTCCACCTCGTCTGGGTGGTGTCGCGCTAGCTGCGCCAGGACCGCTGTGGATATATCTGGCGCGTGTCTGCTTGCACTGTTTGCTATATAGCCTTGAATTCGTCCAAGCTCCTAGCGTTCCCTTGCCTAATGGCAGATGAGCTTCTGCCAGCAGGCTTGCGCGCACGGGCATGTCCTGCAGATGTGTTCCCAGTGTTTCTTTCACCCCGAAACAGCTATGGAGCTTGCGCCAACTGTTATTTTGCCCTCGATCTGGATGGAAGAGATTTAGTTGCCGCACTGCTACTCGATAAACAACCCACACTTGGTACGCAGTGAGCTCGTTCCTATGAGCCCAGAGATCGGTTGGCGTCTGCTGTAAAGCAGCCTTCTGTCACGCACGTCCGTCCGCTGAGTCCTGAAGCGTCTCTAAAGTTCGTGTCAGCACACTGTCCGAATCTTTGGACCGACGAAATGGTTGTTTCTTTAGGATCTTAGTACGTGCCTATTCATGATAGTGTCGGGCACGCACCACGGGTACCCGTGGATGAGCGGATTCGCATATTATACAATACCCCCTGCTTCCTGGTTCTTGCGGAGCCGCTTGCAGTCGGCAGCCGTCCACTGAGATTCGACGTTGTTTGCAGCAATGCCAATGAATTCCATCGCTCTCTTGCTCCAAGGCGATGACGCGTTGCTGACTGTGTTCCGAGTCCACCAAAATGCCACTGACCCAGTCCTCATAATATTGGAGAAGTAAATCCTGGTCCGACCTGGTGATCGCAAGATGTCACTAGCGCTTCAGATATCCTTCACGGTGCTGTTTGATGATCGTCCGTTCGTCTTGCCTTGGTGCAATGCACTCGCTGACTTCCACTTTGATATTCAGTATTAAAGTCGTTACCCGTGCTTTATAGTGCTGGTGATATGCTTTTATTAGTTGGGTCCTCTCATTCTTGAAGTGTCCACGCTGTCCATGCCTAGAAGTAGCTATCGCGCTTCTGATCAGCCACTTCATCGCATGCTAGAGATTTTGAGTGCATATTGCGACGTCGATGAAGACGAGTCTCATCCCATTCGCACCTCGTGACGTGCACAGTAGGCCTGACTTGACTCTGTGTCTGCTGCTGCCTGTAGACGTGGAGCAATGCCACACAATATGTTCTTGTATGTTGTGCAGTCAGTCTTCGCCTACTGCGGAAGCCAAAGACCGCAGTTGTATATGACATTGCTGGTAGCATGGTAGCATATAGTAACATTATATAGATGGCGACTCTGGTTAGTAGACGCTTTCTGACATTTCGAATCCGTAAAACCCAATTTGCGTCAACTAGGTCCCCAGTCCCTACCTAACGTTTTACATGTTTGATTCCTCTTTAATTGGAGATTGCGACCGCTGTGTTCAAATATCTCAGAAAGCTCCCGAAGCGACGCACGATGCACATCTGCCGCCGGTATCTGCCTCGCGTGTGGTAGACAAACCGTCATATCATGACAAAAGCAGAGAATTTCTGTAGGAATGGTGGGGTGCTGCAGCCTCTTGATTTGGGAATATTATGCAATGATGCTATTGCTTGTATTTTCGCCTCACCGAAAAAGTAGTGGCGCTAAGTGGCAACCCTGTTGGATGCCCATGAGTACGGAAGTTGAATCGGATCATATCCCATTCACTACAAATTGGGCGGTGGCGACAATGCAACGCACATGGGTACCCCCTAGGCGCTGCATGAACCAAATACTTGATGCCATCGTCAACAGTGCTGTTTCCACGATTATGTGGCCATTGAAGGTGAGAATCCCAGTCAAGAAATCATTGTAATAGCTGTGTATTGGTTGGTGATGACCTTTTTTATTCTATGACTTGCTGACTGGCACGCTGGTTTACTATTATCATCATGTCATCAGTATCGATCGTATCGACAGTTAGTAAAAGATATGGGTGTCAATTAACGAGCTGCTGTACTTTACATATAAACGGCTACAGGCTGCCAGGTGTCTAAATTGATCTATACTCAACGAAAACCACTTAAGCTGCTTTCTCGAGGTTCTCACGATCTCTTCCCTGCTTAATCACGCCCAGCAAAAAATACGGAATATGAGCTGGTCCTCGAAAATGCACTACTTCAACCTGGCATGTTGGTATTCCGTGACGTTACGGATAAAAGAGGGTCAGTGGTGTTAAGGCTGCGTGAAAGCAATTAAATTTGAATAACCTCAGCTGTATGAGTGAAACCTTTTGTATAGTGTCTGCTTAGAAACAATGGTCTCTTCAGAATTTCAACTAGTCTATCGCTTCATTTACCGTACATTATTGAAAGCTCTTCGTATCACGTGTTGGAGGTTCGCAGACGACGTAATAATTTTTGGGTCTCCATTTGCGCCTCTACTGGGCTTACCTGACCCTAGAGTATGCTGGACTTTCAAAAGACACTCAGCAGTACCGGTAGCACCGATGCAATTAATGTTTGCAGCCCGGTTATATGGGTTTATCGGGTCTAAACCATCCCCTTTCTCCATCATCACGCGGCCGCTTGAAGAAGTCCGTCTCAAAACTCTTTTTTTTCTTTTCTATCCCACTTGACGCCATGGAGACCCGGTCTTGTCCGTCCATGTGGGAGCTTCGCGCTATCGCCCGTGAGCGTGGCCTCAAGTACTATATGCATCTATCTAAGCCCCAGCTCTTCTCACTGCTACAGCGCAAAGAAGGCGGTGGTTTGTTTAAGCCGGCAGAAGATGCACAGGAGGACGCCGTGCGGCTCATAGAGAGCGCCCAGGTGACGACAACGCGCTCTAGCGAGCGTCTGTCGTGTCTTAAGAAGCGCAAGACCCGCGAGAACGACAAGGCGGAGGCCCTGAGAAACAAGAAGAAGGCCAAGATAGTCATCAATACGATCGATCCCATCATGCTTGCGGAATTAGGTCCGCATACGGTGCGTGTAGATAGTAAAGAGAAGGCCTGCATGTATGACAGTGGGGTTGGGATGTACTGATCGTTATTTTGGGCAATTGTTTTTTCATTCGGGTAGTTTGAGTTTACGCGAACAAATGGATCAGTGGTGGTGTACAATGTGGAGTCACTTGTGCAATACATTTTGGCTACGGGGGACTTTTCTGAGCCGGAGACGCGCATTCCATTCTCAGACGAGGACTTGCGCCGAATTGATAGTGAGGTATCTCATGTGCCCTGTGCTCCTCTGGTCGGATGATGGATGAGAGGATTAAACAATCATCTTGATCTCTTGCCAGGCGAGCAAGGCAAAGCTAAACGAGAAAAGTGTCGTGGATGCCATGAAGAACAAGCACAAGTTTGAAGAACAGAAGGTGAAGCGAGATGGTGTTTTGGGTGAGTGATGGTGATGATGTTTTGTTGAAAAGCGCATGTAGAGACGTGAAAAATTCACATTTGTTGCTATGGATCGGATCACTGCAGGACTGGAGCGGTGTGCGTCCGAGTACGTAAACAAGATGCTGGAGATTGTGGAGAGCGATGACCCCGAGGAGGGAGCGATGCTTCTAATCATGAGCGTGTTTCCATCGTTCTCGGACAGTTTTGAACAGATTCGAAGGAACGATTCAGAGTACGCCAGTCACAGCATGTGCCACTACATTCAGTACATGAAGGGCCCTAAGAACCGGCCGACCGTCGACCACAGCGGTCTATTGCCAATTATATTAGGCTTCCTTGAGGAGGTTGCCAAGGGCAAACAAGGTGCTAGCACTTTTGGGTTTTAAAGTAGCAGCATGGTGTTTATCTACATCAATACCTGATAGTTTCTCGGGTGTATTGCAGCTGTCATTTCAACGCAGCTGTTTGTAGTATTAGTCTCTCGTAAGTCATAAGAAAGCTACGTGTACAGGAATTTAATTGATCTTGTACAGGAATTACTTGGTCATGTACAGGTATGTGATTGTTCTTGTCGGGAAGATTGAAGTAAAACCTACTGCTATTCACGTACATCTTCTGCATTTGGATCGCAACCAGTGACTGTTAAGCAAATTGTCTGGCCTTACTACCAGGTGACTCTAAATGCAGTATTGTAACGAAGTTTACGCGACGGGTAAAGAATCGGACAAGAATGCAATACAATGCAACCTTGATACTTGTCCTTACGAAGGTATTAATTGTGCACTATAAGACACACCAAGGCCAAATCGAGTTCTGTATTGCCAGTATTGTGCTGAAGCATGTTTTCCACGCGTTAAAGTTGATTAAACAGACAATGGAACGACCTGTAAAGCGTGATAAGGCTTCCTCCGCACGCGATACGGCGTTTAACAACCAACACAAGCTGAAATATGGTCTCATGGCTGTCGGCACGGACACTAAAACCGACAAGATTGACCTCGTCGCCTGCACAATCTGCATCGCGTACGGTGTCGAGGAAAGAGCCGGTACTAAACGGTAGAAGACCGTTTGCAGGAAGACGTTTGGCCCGCAGCTTCGCTCGGAGGGACTACAGAATTGACCTCACTCTGCAGCATTTGGCCAAGTGGGCAAAATATCAGCGCAAGTCCAACTACTATAAGTCGGCTTTCTTCGACGTTGCTATTCCGTTTGTCAATATTATCTGGAGAGAGGCCACATCACCTACCGTATTGACAAACAGGTCATTGACGTCGTCATTGGAAAAATGCTGTGGGATTTCGAGGACGTAGAAACTCTCACGTTTGAAAGTGCGATGCGCATTTCACTCGTGAAGAGCCATCAGTTGACTACGCGGTCATCATTAAGACGCCTATGGCATATAGGCTGGCGATGAAGCACGTCTGATCGGTATCAGCATGAAGCAGACCGCCCTCGCGAATCAAGCTGCCAAGGAGGTGGCCAATGTGTCCAAGCTCGCCGGCATGATGAAGCCAAGGTTGCCGTGTTTGTCCGCGTGCAATGTGCCGCCAGCCTTAGACCATCGCCAACGTTTTGAAGCTCGTCTGGGCGTTTTTGATCGCTGTGAATGCATCTACATGCCAAGGCATGGCCTATGTTGCCATTCGAGTTGGTTTGTTTAGCAACGCGACCTCTTCATTTTGAACGTTACATCTGTCCCGTTCTTTGGCTCGCACACTAGTTTGAGACGTCAATATGGTATTTCGTTGGCGATCACATGCTGAGAATTTTAGGCACAGTGGATTCGGAAGTGATTGCAGCCTCATCTTGTTTGAGAGTAGGCTATGCTTGGATGTATCGTTTGCGTACGATATTGCTGACAAGTATACCTTGGCAGTTCGGGTTTGCTGGTGTCGCGCCTGTCGTTCGGTAGCAGGGTGACTTTTAAGACGCAGCTCGACTTTGAAAAGGCCTTCAGCATTTTGAAGCATGTTTACAAGCAGGGCCCAATACCTTTTCGACAACGCCAAGACGTACGCTAACGGTCAGTCGGAAACGATTATGGGCAAGTTGGTGAAATCATCGTTGTAGACACTTGTGGAAATTTTCCGACGAAGAGGCCATTTATTATGGACATTGGCGGGAATTTCGTGATGAGACAAAGCACGCAATAAATGAACTAGAGGATGTCGAGGAGGAGGAGCTGGCGGAAGAGCTAGAAATATTTGCTGTGTATGTGACTGACGACGTAATCAGAGAAGCGTTTTTGCTTAGCTGCAAAAAATCGACGGGTTGGCATTTGTGCTGTCAACAGTGCTCGAAACTCTTGGTCTATCAACCTCCAAGACACTTCAACAAACGCATGTCCAAACCGAGTTTCAGTGCGCAGCAGATACGTGTCAACCATATATTGACTAGCTAATCGTTGTGTATGGACTGAAACTGTGATCTGAACTCCCTGTTTTAACGCACTATGACAGTATCGTAGCTAACCTCAGGTCAGACATATTGTTGAGCTTCGAGGAGCAACTACTGTAGCACGCATCATAGGGTAGGTTCTAACATGACGCGATATTACTTACCTCAAATCGTTTCTCGGACAGAGAATTACAATGTAAGTCGACATGCTTCGAACCTTGAAGTCTTACGACTTACTACTTATGTCACAGCCGCTTTTGTAGGGAAACGAAATTGCGATTGTCGTTATAACTATCTTTACATTAAGAGATGTAAATTACCACGTGCTGGGGATCTCTGAGTGACGTTCAAGATGTGCTTATGTAAAAGAAGATGGTGTTATCTCTAGGAAGATGAAGAAGATCCAGATGAATTAATCCAAAAGGTTGTGGGACTCTGGACAGATGATGAATGCAGTGCAGTCCTCGATGGAGGAGTGTTTAAAGTTGATGTACAACAGATGCTTTGTCACCTTCGTGGCTAATAGTCTGCATCCAGGCGACTTTTGCTCGATGTCTCGTTACTGCATCAATCCGTTACTAAAATCTAAATCGCATCTTCATGGTTTTGCCTTCATCGAGACGAACATGACGAGTCAAGGATCAACTGTAAGCATAATCTAGATCAAAACGTGGCCAGAGTCAAAAGATCAGTGCCATACGCGAAGTTCTATCCTTATAAAAATGAAAAGGAAATGGTAAGGTGTTCACGGTATAAATATTAGCTTTCCCAGCATTAGCTTCACGTTTTTATTTTTCATTAATGGCTAAAACTACGAAAATTTGTAAATTCCCGATAAGCCTCTCTCTTAGGTCACCATTTCAATTTCAAATATGCATTCGTCACCCACGCCTCAAACAAGAAAGTCAGCACTCCAGCGGCCATTGATTTGACTCCGTCCGTCAAACTTGTCTTCGCAACTATCAGCAATTCGGCTAGCTCAACATCACTGTCCTCATCGAGGGACATGATACACTCACCAAGAGCTACATTGCGGCATCAATTTAGCTAATTTTGCCCTCTTTTTCCAACACCTTCCGCACCAGCTGCTCCTCCCATTTCTTTGCCATGTTCTTCGTACGCTCATCCTTCTTTGCCTCTTCGAGCATTCTAAACACAGCCCCTTTTTTGTAATAATGCAGCAACACATCAACCTCGTCCATCTTGCGGACATAACTTAATGCGTTGTATCTTCGAGGTATCTGGTCCAGACTGGCAAATATGGGCTGGTCAAAACGTCCTCCAATTTTCCAGTCTCCACTATCTCGAAGATCTGGATAGGAAAAACATTCTCATTCAACCACTTCCGTATCAGCTTCTCCTGCAATGCCGTTGCCACCTCCTTCGTAGCAGGATTCTTCTTCGCCGATTGGATCATTTTAAAAACGACCTTTCCTCCGGAATAGCCCAGTAATACTGTAAACTCGTCAATTTTGCGGTTGGGGTTTGCCGTGTTGTATTCTTCGACGTATTTGCTCCAGACTGGCAGCTTTTTATCCCAGCTGGTCATTGTATCCTCTGGATTATCCATTATATATAAGACTTTAAAAGGGTTATAATTTTTCTCCACCCAGTACTCCGCCTGCTGCTCCTGGAGTTTCGTCGCCAGCTCCTTTGTACCCTCAACCTCCTTCGCCGCTTCGAGCATTTCGAACACGGGCTTTTGGTCGTAATTGCCCAGCAACACTCTAATCTCGCGCATCTCGTGGCCGGGGTTTGCTGTGTTGTATTTCTTGAGGTATCTGGTCCAGACTGGCAAATATGGGCCGGTCAAATGTCATTTAGCTTGCGGCCATTTGATGAATATGGAAAGGGGTATAATTCTCCTCCAACAACTTCTGCATCAGCTGCTCCTCCCATTTCTTTGCCATGTTCTCCGTACGCTTAACCTTCTTTGCCTCTTCGAGCATTCTAAACACAGCCCCTTTTTTGTAATAACGCAGCAACACATCAACCTCGTCCATCTTGCGACCGGGGTTTGCTGTGTTGTATTCTTCGAGATATCGGATCCAGACTGGCAAATATGGGCTGGTTAAAACGTTCTCCAATTTTTCAGCCTCCACTATGTTCAAGACATGGCTGGGGATGCCACCCACTTTAAGCCACTTTCGTATCAGCTTCTCCTGCAATTTAGTTGCCACCTCCTTCGTAGCAGGATTCTTCTTCGTCGATTGGATCATGTCAAGCACGGCATTTTCGTCGTAATTGTCCAGCAATACTCTAATCTCGTCCATCTCGTGGCCGGGGTTTTTTATGTTGTAATCTTTGAGGTGTTTTGTCCAGACTGGCCAATATGGGCTGGTAAAAATGTCATCCAGCTTGCGGCCATGCTCCATTATGCTGAAGACTTGGGCAGGGCTATACTTCTGATCCACCTAGTACTTCATCTGCTGCTCCTGCCATATCGTCGCCAGCTTTTTTGTACCCTCAACCTCCTTCGCAGCTTCAAGCATTCCAAACACGGCCTTTTCGTCGTAGTTATTCACCAACACTCGAATCTCGTCCATCGCGTGGCCGGGGTTTGCTGTGTTGTAATCTTTGAGGTATCCGGTCCAGACTGGCAAATTTGGGCTGGTCAAAATGTCATCCAGCTTGCTGGCCTGTTCCACATTCTTGAAGACATCGAGCGGCTTGACGTTGCCGGCCAATCAGCTATTTATTAGCGCAACCTGGAGGCCCTTGGCGACATTTTCAGTAGACTCACCCTTCTCCGCATTAAGGACCTCAGTAGACTCACCCTTTCTCGCATCAAGGACCTCAGCAGACTTGGCCTTTCCCGCATCAAATATCTTGTACAGTTCGCCATCGGAGTAGTAGTGTTTCAGCATAAAAATCGCCTCTTTGTTAAAGTTTTGTGGATGGAGTTCCTTCGTTTTTGTAAACCATTCGTTAAACTTCTCATGCTCGAGCAAGTTGTCCTTAGCCTTGCGCAGACCGTACTTTCGAAAAGCGTGCTTCACGGGATTACCATTAAGCTTTGTCTTCAACGTCGTCATTTTCGACTTGAAGGCGTCGAGAGAATTGAAAGAAATCATCCTTTCTTCATCGTCTTCATGCACAGTGGCGAATTGTTCCCCAAGTTCGTCATTGTGGTCTGCTGTGACGGAAGTCCTCAAAAACCTCACGACAAACACATCATCCTTTCCAGCAGTGAGCGAATTTGCCAAAGCTGCTGTACTCGGGGTCGTGTCTGTTGGCGCGGAGTTAGCGCTAGCACTTTCAAAGGAGGCTCCAGCTACAAGAAGTGAAACGTAGTACAAAAGGCATTGCTATTATTTGTCCGATGTTCTTGGAGTTCTTGAAGTGGTGGCCAGGGAGAGTATTACAAAGTGACAAATGATTCTATCGTGCACACATAAAGAGACCATCATGACTTTCAATATGGATGTGTTAATATTTACGTAAGCACAGGGAGTGTGTGATCATGTGATGTGTCGCTTCAAAAGTACCTGATCTTAGAATCTTCTGTCAACCAAAGCATGCAAAAAAAACGAGTAGAGCCGCGCACTTGTCGAGAATACAGTCCAATGTCGACTTCCACAGCTAGACAAGCTTTGCACATTGTCACAGCGTACTCATTGACGGTTTGACTGGCCACTTCTATTAGAAAACCTCGAATTATAACGTTCTCAAATCAAACGAGCTACTGGATAGCCGAAAGGGATAGTCCTACAAGAGACAGATCAAGGAAATGGCGTACTCCTGTATACTAACGAGAATGCTTGAATGGATTAAAGTAGAAGTTCGAATTGTCGATTTACACGCATCCCACTATCGGTTCTAGACAAGCCGTCGAGTGAGCACGAATCCATGCGGTCACTGGTCTTGTTGGTCTGTGGTCGGGGCGAGCCGTTCGCCCAGCTGAATGATCCAAAGTACGAAAGATTCCCATCTTGGCCAATGATACATGTGGTCAGTACCGACGCAAGAGACAAGTCGGTAAAGGTGTCGCAGCCGAAGCAGTAGACGGAGCGGAGGCAGGTGATGGTTATTGCTGCTAGAGATCTATATTGTACAGCGTAAAACACATCGTATCGCCGTCGTTCGAGCGTTATCCCGATGTGATCCATGAACTCGGCTGCACATTACGGCCAGACATCGCGCAAACGGCGGTAATCCTAGCACGAGTACAAGAACATCTACCGAACCTTCGGTCATCATCGACCAGTTGGTGGGAGGAAAATGACTGGATTTTGCACCTCTCCGAGCCCCTTCCATGGCGGCCTCAAGGGGATGAGATTTGGCCTCAGGAGATAAACGATTTTTGGCAGACTTTTCAGTGGAGTGGTAATCCTTGGATTCTCTCACCGCAGGCGCTCGAGCTGTCCCGATCCAAATATAACAGAATTCGTGATGTATCCCTCGAACAACTCCACATCCAGCGGACAGGCCCCCAAGAATACGTCTTCAGCGGCATTGGTACGGATGTCCATGACCCCCGCCATTCGCATGCGAAACTTCGAGAATGGGCGATCATAATTTTACTTTCGTCGCCGCCACTAGACGTGGGAAATCCGGTAGGGTGCCCAAGCCCATTGCGGCTAAGGCAACAGCTACCATTCACGCAAGCCATCTCATGGGTGCTGATCGGGCCAGGCAAGGTTCGAGGCGTTTCACTCTCTGATGAATCTGATCGCCCTCAGAGTTGGGAGCTCACTCAATGCCACGATGGCATAACTTGGGTTTTCGACGGCGCTCCGCCGCTAGTAAAAGGGAAATCGCAGGAGCTCACCCAACAAGCGGAGAGCAGGCTCAGCCGACATGGGGTTGTCTTTTTTTCCAACCCAAAGATCCACCACTATCCGTGGTCCGCACCGCCTACGGTCCCCAACCATCGACTATTCACTTTTTTGAAAAAACAAGCTTTTCAGGCGACAAAGCGCGGTCTCGCAGCACCGCTGAAGCAGGTCATCGATCGGCTAGCCACAAAGAGCCAGAATACGCGGTGGCAATGCACAGCTTTAAATGTCACGCCGGCTCAGCTATGGGATCACTGTAGCGGAGCTACACAGCTCTTTAGCCAGAGGAAGACTTTCGGCTGGAAGCCTCTTAGTTCTAGAGAACTAAATAGAGTGAAGGCTAAAAGCCACTTAGTTCTGAGGAACTAATTAAACGACTTAAAGTCACCCTGTTCTAAGGAACTAGGAAAGAGACTTTTAATCAATCAAGCAATATGCTTAAGGTTCAGAGAACCAACGCACAGAGTGCAAGAACAAGCTAGAAGCTTAGGGGTTCAGAGAACCAACGCACGAAGTGCACAAGAGAACAAGTCAGAACGACTTGCGATCTTAAACTCAAAAGGAGAACTGATTTTATTTATGCTTTAAGATATTATGAATAGTCCTACTTTAAGTACACTACACTAGATTAATTACTATTATAGTAATTATTATATGCAGACTTTGCTATTGGACGACGTATCGTCTAAACATCTGTGTATGATGTACTTAATACAGCGTTAGTGATTTATCGAATCCCAATCGATAAGATACGGTATTACCGAATACCGTATTATAACGCTCATACTTAATACCTCTCTAACGAGAAGTATAATAATGCATTATATGCAATACAAAGGAGAGTTTAAGCGTAAACTCTCGGAAAGACGTTACAACCGTCGTGTAACCCCGTTACACCCTCCCCCACCAGACTGACGTTCCCATAGAATGTCACTCGACATCTTTCCTCATAGAGGTAGTGCTTTAGCGAACTTTTAAAACCTCACGGTTTGTTCACGGCACACAACATGACGCCTCCCGGCAGTGAGTCACAGACTCTTAGGGACCTTATTGAGGACGACCTTGACGAAGCGGTTGATTACGAAAGTGACACCGTCTTTGTGGGACCCGATGGGTCCCCTTTAGCCACCCTCACGGGTGAAGATGACACTCGTCATGCACCGAATCCGTTCCCTGAACGTGGTGCAGCAGATGCGCTAACAGCGTTACGTGACCCGCCTGACGTATCATCAACGGTAACGGTTACCAATCCACTCGACGAGCAGCAACAGCGGTCCATCGACCAAGAGGAAGGCGCCAAGCGCCGAACGAAGAACATGACGCGGCTGCAGGACCACCGACAGTACAGGTTCAAGCCACCTACGGTGGAAGAACGTCTAAAGGAAGCATCTGGGCATTCCCTTTCTGGTTGGACCATTGGGCCTGAGGCCATTTCACCTGAGGATGTTGCCACACGCACGGCACTTCGACAACGATATCTGGAGCCCCATATCACTACTCAAAGCCAATACTTGGCACGCCTTAATAGGCAAGTGCGCGGTGCGCCAGTTCCTCCGATGAAGGGTGTTCCCATCCTTCTGTTCGCGGGGGAAACCGAGGAAGAAGAAGACACGGCTTTCAGCCGCTGGGCGCATTATGCGCGACGTTTAAGCAGCATGTGGGCCCTACGGGCAAGTGCCGATGTGGCAGATGTTCGACTTGAGCGGAAGATGCGTTATGATTACGCTAAATTGAAGGCCCGGGGGAAATTGAAATCCCAACGAACGCATTATGCGCCTGCTGCCCAGCAGCCCAATGTTTCGGCTACCCCTGCAGCCGCGAGTTCACGACAGCCCGAGGCCGCTAACCCGCCTACCCTCACCCTTACTGGTGAGAAGCGTCAGCGCCAACAGACAGACCCTGCGCACGACGCTCAAAAACGTCCACGGCGTACGGGCAATCCTGCCGAAGGGGAGTCTCAAATTCCCATGAATTCCATGATTCGGGATAACCCCGCCATTTCACCAGATACTGGTTTTGACCATGGCGGCGACGCTTCTGCAGTAGACGCTCCACATGGAACTGCAGGTTCCCCTGCGCATCGAGCAAAGGAGGAGGAGGTCGGTGTATCGGAACAAGCTCATGCCGAGCTTGTTCAGGAGGTGCGGACCCTTCGTGAGGAGAGGCAGACGATGAACTCCCGGCTTGAGTCCCTGGAAGAGAGTCGGACCCGAATGCAGGGTCAACTTGACTTGTTGGTGCAGATGCTCCGTCCCGCGACAATGCCAATGGGCCCGGCGCGAGCGCCTTAGCGTCTATTTGGGACGGATCCCGATAAGGTTTCAACATGGCGACATAGAACACAGGATGTGTACGCAATTTGCGCGGCAAGTTAAGCGTATACGCTGTGCCTTTCTTGGCAATGACCTTAAAGGGTCCGATAAAGCGCGGACGCAACTTCGTCTTAAAGACAGCGGATACTACATTGGTAGGTAGGTTTTTAGCATTAAGTAATACTTGGTCTCCGACCTCATAATCATTAATACAACCTCTGCCTTTCGCATCTGCATATTCCTTTTGTTTATCTTGACTATCAGCCATTGCATCTTGCACATGTCGTAAGACATTTAGTCGCGTTGCGAGAAACGCATTTACCTGTTTCCTAACAGTATTAGGGCTGACATCAGCAAGCCGATCGGCAACCTCTCCCCCACCAAGCCCTGAACCACTCGGTGGTAGCGTTAACGGAACGCGTGGGTGTGTGAGACCATTGACATAGAACGGAGTGTAGCCGGTGGAGGCGTGCACGGAATTATTGAGTGCAAACTCAACTACAGGGAGCATAGAGCTCCAACGCTTAGGCGTTTCAGCACAAACGCTGCGTAGGATATCTTCAACAACGCGATTTACGCGTTCGGTTTGACCATCGGTCTGCGGATGATCCGCCGTGGACATGTCCAAACGGGTGCCCAGCACCTGGAAGACGGACTTCCAAAATTTACTCGTAAAACGAGGATCACGATCAGAAACAATTGCCACTGGCAAGCCATGTTGGCGAAACACCCGATCGATAAACAGCTCCGCTGTACCCACACCATCGATCGAATCTGGCACAGCCGCTAAGTGAGCCATCTTGCTCAAACGGTCAACAAAGACCACAATACCTGTATTGCCATGCGAATCTTTCGGTAGGCCAAATACAAAGTCCATACTAATGGACTCCCAGCACCCAGTGGGAATAGGCAAACTAGCCAGCGGCGCTGCCGAATGGGGCGAGG